TTTTCTCCAGCGGCTAGAAGTGTGCTCAACCCATAGTAAATGACTGAATAAATACACAGGTGGGCAAAAGTAGATTTAGTTATTCCTATGAAAGATAATACAATAATTAATAAACAACACAAGAATAAACTTTGTGTTCCATGTAATCACAACTGTAAATTTACTTTTGCCTACCCTTGTATGTTGGCACAGATAATGAAAACAATGTTTATGGAAGGTATGAAAGACTATAGCAATTTAAGTGAAGAATAGTATTTGTAGCCACAACAAGGCAATGGTGCAGTGATCTCTGGGAAGTGCACTGGGCAGAGTGAGCATCTTGGGGTCCATAGGTCCGCCCCTGCTGAAATGCAACAGAAACACAGGGGTGTAGGGGTTAGGGACCATCCCCTGTCACTAGGCAGACCTGAGACATATGAAGCATCAGGAAAGTACTGGCTCATCTAAACTTGACTATGTATCTAAGAAAACAAATATTGAGCAAGTCTGATGAGGATGGAGGTACCACCTGAAGGAAACGTGGTACCTCTGGATTCACTGCCAGTCTCTAAGCCACAGTCCAGAGGAGAGCCCTCAGTGTTAAGGAAATTCAAGACATGTAGTACTTCCCTTTCAAAGTCATCCATTGATACAGCTCTCATACTGCCTATGTTTAGCTAAAAGATGTTGCTTTAAATGACACATTTTGTCACATAACACCTATGGGGGAGAGGGGCGGGGGGAAGACATGCTAGAAATAGTTTGTGAAAAGGTGGGGCTTGAAGTCCATTCCTATTAATTAAATGGCCCTTCCCAACTCCCCTCCCTTGTTCTATTAACCCTATGTAATTTCATAAGCTATGTTCTTACTGCTATCTACTGGTGTAAATGTTTAAAGACTTCTTATTGGGGGGTGGGAGGAGGTAGAAGATGGTAAAGGGGGGGATAAATGGTGATGGAAGGAGACTTGACTTTGGGTGTCGAACACACAATACAATATACAGATGATGTATTATAGAATTGTCCACCTGAAACCTATACAATTTTATCAACCAATGTCATCCCAATAAATTCAATAAAATATTATTTTAATATCTTTCAGTATGATGCTTTACTCTTCCTATGAGAGTGAAAAATAGCTCTATGCCATTGTATGTCCAAACTTTCATTTAATCCTTCATTCACCAGGCAGGTTGTAGTGGATGGAGTCAGATTCAGGAAGACCGACACTCTAACATTTAAAATCTAGTGATTTCAAGCAAGTCATTTATACTTTCTGAGCCTCAGTTTCCTCATCTATAAAATATGGGTAGTAGTAATTCATACTCCAACTGAGTTTCTTCTTGTTTTTAAATATGTTTTTATTGATTTCAGAGAGGAAGGGAGAGGGAGAGAGAGAGAGAAAAACATCAATGATGAGAGAGAATCATTGATTGGCTGCTTCCTGCATGCCCCCAAATGGGGATCTAGCCCACAACCTGGGCATGTGCCCTGACCGGGAATCCAACTGTGACTTCCTGGTTCATAGGTTGATTCTCAACCACTGAGCCATACTGGCAGGGTTGGGTTTCTTCTTGAGCACCCTAAGCTCTTTCCTTCCTCAGGACCTTTGTGCATGCTGTTCCCTTTAGAGTCTTTCTTTTCTAACTAGAAACCATGCTATTCAACATTTATTTTACAAGGAGAAAGAGTTTCATGGGTGTAAATCTGAGTCAGAATCCAGAATGAGTAAATATTTATTGAACAAATCTATATATATATAAAAGCCTAAGTGACCGGCTGACTGGCCAGTAGCTATGATGCACACTGACCACCATGAGGCAGATGCTCAATGCAGGAACTGCCAGCTGTGGTCACTTGGCAGCGGCGGTTCTCGGGTGACGCGCCTGGAGCCAGAGAGGAGTGAGCCCGGTTCCAGGGTGCGTCACCTGAGAACTGCCCTCTCACAATCCAGAACCCCTTGGGGGATGTCAGAGAGCTGGTTTTGGCCCCATCCCCACAGGCCAGGTATTTTTTATTATATATTACTAGAGGCCCGGTGCATGAAATTCGTGCATGGGGGGGGGGGGGGAGGGTCCCTCAGCCTGGCCTGCACCCTCTCCAATCTGGGATCCCTTGCGGGGTATCCGACTACTGTTTTAGGCCCGATCCCGCAGTTAGACATCTCTCTCGCAATCTGGACTGCTGACTCCTAACCGCTTACCTGCCTGCCTGCCTGATCGCTCCTTACTGCCCCCCTTCCAGCCTGGTAGCCCTCAACTGCCCTCCCCTCTCCCCCTCTCGCCAGGAACTGATCACCCCTAACCCCTCCCCTGCTGGCCTGATCGCCCCTAACCACCTCTGCCTCGGCCCCCACCACCGTGGCTTTGTCTGGAAGGATGTCCAGATGGATGTCTGATCTAATTAGCATGTTACCCTTTTATTAGTATAGATTATTATTATTATTATTTATTATTTTAGCTTCATGATAACCAAGCAAAGTAAGTATTCATGAACCTATGTGATAGACAGGGAAGATGGAGATCAAAATGATGTCTATGTGTACGTGGTCTTAAGAGGCAATGCTGGGATTCAAGCCTGACTCTTAAGTCAGCTCATCTCTCCATAGCCCCATGGGTTCCTCATGAGAGAGGACCTCCTATTTCCCCCTTTACTTCTGGTGAAATGTGATTTTGCTGCTGCTGAATCAGAGAAAGCCAGGCCTTACCATGCTCTTCTTGTCAGCCTTCTGGATCGTGTACCCTGTAATGGCCGCATTTCCATCATCCTTTGGTGGTGTCCATGATAGGGCAACATTCTCTCCCCAGACGTCCTCAATCTTCACAAGTTGGGGTGGACCCGGACGGTCTACAGGATTAATTCACAGCATCACTGGAAGGTCACTTTCCCTCCCAACCTACGCATTGTTTCAGGAGAGTATTTCAAAACGTCCCTCCCTCCCTGCATCTCTACCCACATTTCTTGTACCATTCTTAAACTTCAGAGAAGTGGAATGCACTCTAGCTAAGCTTATCGGGAAACTCTTGATTTTCATCTTCCTGAGGGGAAAAAGGATTTTGAAAAGAAAATTAAAATGAAATCTCAGACCGTATTAACTACCCCTCCAGGGCAGCCTACTGGCATTGAATCACAAGGCTAGGCTGCCTAATTGGAAATGTAAGCTGATATTGGCTGTGTCCAGAATCTACAAGGTTTTCTATGCAAGAATTCAACACGTGTTGTAGTTCTATTGTTGAAGAGTTGAGAAACAGAGTAAGAGAGGACTGAATTGTAAAGCAATACAGATGTTTTTCACTAATAAGTATATCCATTACTTTTCTTTAATATAGATGCCCTGTCCCCCATGATTAGTCCTTTTAGTGAAAAATTGTTCTAAAATGCTAACACACCTTACTAATTTACGTTAAGAAATTTTTAATAAAGAATTTTATGTAGAGCCAGCCTCACACAAATTGTTGCTTTAGCCTTAATGACAAGGACAAGTAATCCAAATACCAGTTGACAGGACATTCTGGTTCCTTCTTCCAAACCTACCCACGATCTGGATGTCGATCGATGCGTTTTCCACGAATTTCTCCACTTTGACTTCCAGATCGTATTTCCCTGAGTGGCTCCTCTCCGCTTTTCTGATAAATATGATCGTGTCAGTCTCAGAGTTGCGAATGTTGATTTGATTCTTATCAATTTCGGCACCATCTTTCTTCCAAGTTAATTCTGGTCTTGGTTTTCCCTAAAAAGGAAGACAGAGAAAGTAGAGAGGGAGGGAAATCAGATTGTCTCAAGATTTTTTTTTCTACTATTACAAAAAAATGGCAGCATCTTGCTCTGTTCAAGGCAAAATTGGCAAAGAGCCTGGTGGTGGGCGACTATAGCAGCAACAGTAATTCTCGCTGCCTTAGTTATATTCTGCGTACAAGGCACTATATTAGGTACATGAAGTTTATTATTTCCTGTAATCTTCACATCAAGATAGTATCATTATCCTCATTTTTTGGATAAGGAGTTAAATGACTTGCCCAAGGCCTTGCAGCTAAGGAAGCATTAGAACCAGATTTTACAGGCTGGTCTCACTAGCGCCAAAGCCTGCAGAGCACAGCATATGGGTCAAGAGCATGGGCTCTGGGGCCTTGGAATCTATATTTGGATTCTGATTCCACCACTGAATAGCTTTGTTTCCTTGGGCAAGTTACTTGAACTCTCTGTGCCTCAGTTTCCCAATTTGTAAAATAAGGACAGTACTGCCTCACAGGGGGGTTATAAAGATAAGTTCTTTGAAAGCTTCTGTACACTACATAAGTGTTTTATTAATATCATCTAAATGTGAATGATTATTATTCCACCTTTTATTCCAGCTCATTTCAGACTTGTCTATAATTCGCTTTTTTGTAAAGCTGCTGAAACTATTCTCTCAAAGCAGACTTTGTGCCCAGCCAGAGTGGCTCAGTAGTTGAATGTTGACCTATGAACTGGGAGGCTGCAGTCTGATTCCCAGTCAGTGTTTCACATGCCTGGGTTTCGGGCTCGATCCCCAGGGGAAGGACATGCAGCCAATCAATGGTTCTCTCTCATCATTGACGTGTTTTTTTTTTTCTGTCTCCTTCTACCTTCCTTTCTGAAATAAATCAATTTTAAAAAAGAAGACTTTGAAAAATTATAATCTCACTCATGGACATGAATTTCAGTTTATATGACAAAGAAACTTCCTAGGATTCCTGAGCTCCCCGGCTCACCCTGAAGGTGGGAACCAAACATTCATTCAGTCAGGTGAGGCATGGCCTTCCTCCAGCTCCTAGTGTGGCTTATTGATAAGGAATGTGAAAGACACACATCAAACCCCTGCCCAAAGAGCTGGAAGAGCCCTAACCGGTTTGGCTCAGTGGATAGGGCGTCAGCCTGTGGGCTGAAAGGCCCCAGGTTCGATTCCAACTAAGGGCATATACGTTGGTTGCGGGCACATCCCCAGTAGGAGGAGTACAGGAGGCAGCTGATCAATGTTCCTCTCTCATTGAAGTTTCCAACTCTCTATCCCTCTCCCTTCCTCTCTGTGAAAAATCAATAAACACAGGGACCTAGATTCTAAGGCCATGCTGTCTGATATAAGAGCAACATGTGGCTGGTTAAACTGAAATTAGTTATAATTTAAAAAAATTGAAAATTCACACTAGTTCCTAGTTGCACATTTCAAGTGTTCAACAGCCACATTTGACTGCTGGTTACTGTGTTGGAGAGCACATATATAAACATTTCCTCCATCACAGAAAGTTCCACTAAACAGAGGCAAAAAAAAAAAAAGGGTGTTAAATAAGTAAGGGTGTGATGGTGCAGTGCGTGTGTGTGAGAGGGGGAGAGAGAGAGAGAGAGAAAGGACATGCAGCCAATCAATGGTTCTCTCTCATCATTGACGTGTTTTTTTTTTTCTGTCTCCTTCTACCTTCCTTTCTGAAATAAATCAATTTTAAAAAAGAAGACTTTGAAAAATTATAATCTCACTCATGGACATGAATTTCAGTTTATATGACAAAGAAACTTCCTAGGATTCCTGAGCTCCCAGGCTCACCCTGAAGGTGGGAACCAAACATTCATTCAGTCAGGTGAGGCATGGCCTTCCTCCAGCTCCTAGTGTGGCTTATTGATAAGGAATGTGAAAGACACACATCAAACCCCTGCCCAAAGAGCTGGAAGAGCCCTAACCGGTTTGGCTCAGTGGATAGGGCGTCAGCCTGCGGACTCAAGGGTCCCAGGTTCGATTCCGGTCAAGGGCATGTGTCTTGGTTGTGGGCACATCCCCAGTAGGGTGTGTGCAGGAGGCAGCTGATCGATGTTTCTCTCTCA